CTTGACTTAAGCTAGCTTGCGAAAACCTAGTTTAAAACACTTAGCTTAAATTTCATAATTATTGAAATAAATAATAAAACAATATTTAACCAAAATAAGTACATATTTCTTTATTTAGATTAAGTGATGATTAGGATTTTTATAGAGATAATTACGATTGCAGTACTATGAAATTGTGATAATTAAGTATGTGTTAATTAATTAATAAATGATTACTAATAATAAAATTTTTACTATGATTAATATTTTTTTAATTAAGATAATTGTTAATTATTATTTAAGCATGAGATAATTAATTAATTATTTAATTACTCATAATATTTAAAAAATAGCTATAATTAATAATTTTTTTTAATCAAAACAATTCTGATACATTTAAAATTCTTGATAATCCTAATTAGTTAAGGTTTAAAAATATTTATCAATGATAATTCACGCCTAATTATAATTTATGACATTATTTATGTTAAGTGATTGAGCTTAAGTTAAAATACAACAAGATAATTTTATCAGCTTATTTTGGTTTATAACAACTTATCTTTTTTACCAACTAAATGGCTGAATTTTGCTTAAAATTGGCTTAGCTTAGCTTAGATCAACTTAAGAAGATTCTTCTTTTTTCAATTTCTAAGTCAAATTTAATTTATTGAATTGTATTTTAATTCTCAACCATTGAAAGATATTAATAAATGATATAAGATGCGTGAAGATAAAAGTTCCCATCTTTCTAAAATGATAATGTTTAGGTCTCCTCTCTCTCTGTTTGTGGGAAAATTATTCTGTACGGATACCAGATCATCCGGAGGTGAATCTGATTATGTCACCTGATACATAGCGGATACATAGCAAAGGGATGATGTGACACGCTCTAATTTGTCTTCGGACGGCGTTCATATCCGCATAGAATAATTTCACCAATTTGTGAGTACATGCAGATGCTTTTTTTGTTTTGAAAATATGCAGATGCATTTGAAGCATGTGTTTGAAGACATGTATTCGTGGTTGTATATATATATATATATATATTTCTTGTTTGTAAAACTATTAAGTTTTGGTTCAATTAGAAAAAGAGTTGAACTTGACGGAAAATCGTAGTGTAATCAGTTCATTAGAAAACGAGACAACATGATTGAAAATTTTAACTCGACTTGGGAGCCATGCTAATAAAAAAATGAGTAAACTCAAATTCACCTTGTTTACGCCTATGGAATTGAGCCCAATGTTTTTTGAGTAATAACCAAAATAATCTCGTATTGTAGGAAATTGCTTAAAATGGTAAAATTTTGAAATATAAAAGTGATTGAAACTTTCCTTTGCTTTTAACCAGGCAATGCATTAGTTGCACTTTATAACAAGATCCTCTTTGTCTCTGAAACATTACATAGGGCCTAAACCTTCAGTATCCTATGCAGTAAGAGGTAAATTTTTTATTTTATTTTAATTTTTTGTAAGATTTTCATATTCAACGTAAGCTACGTTTGGAACGGCTTTCTTAGTGCTTCTTAAAGCAGCTTTTTAGTACAAATTTTTTAATTTTTTACTAAGAAGCTGTTTTAAGAAGCAGTAAGAAAGTCATCCCAAATGAAGCATTAATTTGTATGTCTTTATCTGTACTGCTTAATGCTAGTTTCTGTCAAACAAATGTTCTAACTGCGGCATGTGAACTATGAGTAAACTAACCTGATAAATCTTCACAGTATGCATTTATGGTTTTGGAGGATAGTAAATCGCGGAAAATCATTGATGTTTTTATTTTTTTTAAAGTTATTGGAATTAAGGGTGTAAATGAACTGAACAAAAGTAAGCTAGTGTCTTCAGGTTGTTTACTATCCGAGCCAAATACAAGTGAGCTCAAATTTTTTGATATTTTGAAAATTTGTTCATTTTATGTACATTTATTATCTAGCGAAATACTAATCAAACATGAACAACTTATGAATCTGATTTGCTTGAGTTAGCTTTTTCACTATTTTGTTTTTCATATCATTGTTAATCTTCCTTTTAGATATTACATTTTTACTGCTTTTCAAAAATTTTTGTGAAGGAAATTTATTTTTTACAAGTAAATATACTAAATTTTTGTAGTTATAATTTTCAAAAAAAATTATAATACTTACAACAACTTTCAAGAATGTGATTTTTCTCACAACAACTTTACAATTACTCTTACAGAAGTTGTAGATGCAAGAGTTTAGGATGCTTGGGGTATCTAATTTTAGATGTATAGGAATACCTCTGTGGGTGCTGAAAATTCACACCCCAACTATGTTGCAAGAGTTTTTATTATAGCGCATGAATGATAGCCAATGATGAAAAGAGAAACATTTCCCAACTGATGAAAAGAGAAACATTTCCCAACTGATTTTGGCCTACCATTACTTAAACCTAATTCTTCTAGTTCTTTTTCTCGAGTATAATTGCTGTTAAGCTAATGTAATTTCTTGCAGAGCTTGATCTTACAAGAAACCAGCGAAAAGGAGCGGCCCTTGGACTGAACTTTCCATCATAAATAACTCAGGCAAGTTTTTCTCTTTGCAGTTCCGCTATTATTACATTGGGATCTTTTTATTCCTCTAAATTATTGTAGATAATAATCAGATTAGTAATAAGTTTAAGTTTTCCCTTTCAAAACGAAATTATCAGGTACTGGCATCTTTTTATTCCTCTAATACTGGTATCTGCGTCACCGTTTAAGCTCGTCTAAAAAAAACATCCGACGTGTTTTTCTTTGTTTTAAATGTTAACAGGCTTATTATTTCTGGCCTCATCAATTTTGTTATTTTTGCAAGCATAAAAAGTGTCTATGTTTGGATGCATGAAATTTGAGTTAAAGGAAATAAAAAAAAACAAAGAATAATTCAAATCAATGACTGTGTATTTATAATTACCCAACAAATTATTGCATTTCATTCCATTTCTTCACTTTCCTTCAATCGAAAAAAAAGCCTTAGCATTCACCTCATATTTTTCCTTATAAAAAGGAAAGCCCATTGTTGGGTTAGCTTTAAGTTAGCTAGTTACTCATGAATTTTAAAGCATGTATTCTATAAATAGTCTTTAGACAGTTCTCACTCGATGACATACTTTTTTTTGTTCAAATTCATTGGTGAACTGAAGACCTTGTGCAACTAGTTGATTTTTTTAGTTTAGGGTGTTATTGTGGGACCCTAACATTACTTCTTTCCTACTTTCTTCTCTTCTGACATCATAAAAAGGCTTTATGAATGCTAGGAAGTGGCTTGTTACTAAGTATTTTTCCACAAACTTCATCATGATATTTATTAAGACTAAGAACATGTAGGGCCATTATGTCTTTTTTTTTTTTTTATTGTTAGCTGCTCTGCGCGCACTTCCATTTGAATTCTTCAAGAATATCAAGTTGTTGCCAATTTCTTTTTAGAAAACTAAAGTCTATTGCATAAATTTCACCTTATCTAAGGTCATGAAATGTCATTTTGATCCAAGCATTTTGTTAGGCCGGCCCTTGTGCCGGCTGAAGTCCTCCCGGTCAAGACCAGTTCAGGTCTACAGGAGGCGGAAGCAGCAGGGGGGCGGAAGTCTGGTTTCGGCGGCAGCTTGAGTGGAACCCACACATTAATGAAGGCTGAGATTAGCAGGAAAATTCAAATTAGGAGCTGTTTAGAGAATAATGAATTATCCTTTTTCTTTAAATAATCTTCTCTCGCTAGGGTTAGATTTTCATCTTGAATTTGGGCAAAAATTTGAGCTGAAATTTGAGATCTTGGTATTGATTTTGGGCTCTACACTCTGGCTAGAGATTTGAAGAGTTGAATCTTCCTCTTGAATTGAAGATTCATTGTATCGGATTATTTCTTTCCTTCCGCTACTAAATTTCTAGTGATTTCTCCATGTTTTTCCTACAGTTTTGGACAAAAACTGCTAAATTACTACAGAATTTCTCTGAAATCCTGCTATGTTTGTCATTATTTTGTGGCGTTAGAGTAAGTCTCTTTTGTTCCATCTTATATTTCTCCAGTAATTTTGTAGTACATGATGGGATGACTTTTTTACTGCTTCTTAAAGCAACTTGAGTACAAAAATTTTAACTTTTGTACTATAAAACTATTTTACGAAGGAGCAAGAAAGCTGTCCCAAGCGAAGCCTTAGTTTTTTTGTCATGGAGTTGATTAACAATGACATCATCATCATCATGTTGTTCTAAATTTTCTAGATCTTGAATCCGTGGGCATCATCGTTTGTAGTTGTCGTTGCTTTTGTGAGATAATTTTCTTTCCATTTCTCACTTGCAAACATCATGACGGATTGAGACCATTGGATGACGTTGTGATTGTTGAGTTTGTGTCCAGTGATTTGGAGGATGTGACCTTCATTACCGCTGATGTTATTGGTGAAGAAAATATTGGGATTGGAGGTGACTTTAGACATCCAACTTTTTTTCATGCTGGCCATGTGGTGCTTCGCCATCTATGAATTTTAGGCGGCCTCTCCTACTTTGATTCTGTGTTGAAAACTAAGAATAAAAAAATTCTCTTATTGCTCTAATCGAATACGAGGGTACCATAACAAAATATAAGGCTGCACAGCCACAAATCCACAATGCATTCAAACATTAATTCCTAATCAAGTTATCCAGGAAAAAGGATTGACTGGCCAAGCCAACAAAATAAGCAGCCCAGCTGTCCTCCTAATACACCACACAAAAGAAAAGGAAATAGATCAAACTACAACTGTACAATGAATCAGCCGACAACCCTTAGTGAACAAAATATCAAATTTAAAAGATTATAATAATTGATTCCATTGGATTATTATTTAAGATTATGTGTAATCCGTTTGAATTAGAAATCCATATTATTTTATTTTTACTTTATCATTAACAATACAAGTTATACATTAACTCCTAAATCTAATAGAAATAAAGGGGGAAAACACCATCTTAAATAATAATCCTTCCTAATACCCCATATATACTTGCATTTTATTTTAATATTTTTTAGCTATATAATATGCAAGTATAATTGAAATAAAAGAAAAAACTTTACTCCTAATTTTAGCTATCAACTAGTTGATAGCTCAAGTGACCGGCTTCTATAAGATCTACAAACGTAAGCTAAATTTGTTACATACCTCAAGGCAATGAAAATTGTCGTAGGCTTGAATCTTCCTCTCCTAGTTTTAAGCATGTTTGCTGAAAAATAAAAATAACGACCCAACCTCTGCTGATTTATCCATCAAGAAGAATGGCTAGAAAACTGAGCATTTAAATTAATTTGATGAACAGGATTTTACAGATTAAAATTAGTGGCTTTCATTTCACCCCACCTGACCAATATTTGGATGACTATTGATGAGTTTCCTTAGTAGATGTTTTGTCATGAATACACTGCTGCTTGTTGATCAGTAGTTCATCTTCCAGATTGATGTTTGATAGATCTTAGTAAGATCTTAGCTACTGCTCTATTTTTCCACCTTTGATTCTGCAGCTTTCCTGTTCTTAGGTGCTTTGCTTGCTGGGAAGTGCAGTCTGGCATATAAAGGCTTTGGTGCCCTTGTAACACGGTCAAATCCTCTCACACAAACAAAACCTGCAAAACAAGTTATCTTATTTTATTGCTACAGTTGCTGCCTGAAGTGCAAAAATTTAATGAATAGTTTTTATCTTCTATGGTGATAAGGTAGGTCACAGTATTCATGTCTATAGATGTAGGCCTGCTAATTATTCGACCATATCTTGAGGTTGAATCCTTTCTACCCATTCTTAGTCCCCAGACAAACTTGTCTAGTTGAGATGTCGGTCCTGTCTATATTTGAATCAAGCCTGGGTGGTTGACTTTAATCTGAGCCAATGATTTACAATACATTTTTTTTGTATTTACTATCAAATTCTCAGCTTTATTACACGCATACATGGACAAACCTACATGCATACAGCATGCAGCATACATCATACACATTTGAAGACATTTGTCTGTTCATTCCCACATGTACCATACCATATACACATGCATTCATGTATATATATATATATATATAAAACTTTAGTGGGCCAAGGTAATTGTTAGCTACTCAAAGCTGATGATTTAATAGGTAGTAAACAAGTCACTTCCCAATTATGATATTAAGTTCCCTAAGTTGTTATGCATGAAGCAATATTATCAAAGGAAAGCATTTAAATTTAAAATAAATGACGCTAAAAAGAGAAAATAATCATTATGTTGAAGTTATGTTGTAGTTCACCCAAATCTACTTCGGATTGAAATTGAGCTTCAAAAGAGACTGTAGGCTCATATTGATGTTAGCAATACTAGTCTTTAGTATTTGATTGCAACTTTTGGTCTTGAAGCATTAGCTTGTCTTAAAGAGTGGAATGCAAAAAAAGTGATGTGCCTTGGAAACAAAATCAGCAAGAAATCGGAATAAAATTGCAAGGGATTGTGAATGTTGGCTGATTTTTTTTATTAATAGTTCAAAACAAAAGCAAGATACAATGGTCTACAATTAGAGAAGTAGATTGACTCTCCCAAACCACCTAGATGCCATTAGGAGGCCCTCAAAGAAAAGAAGCTACAGTAGAAATCAAATATTCCATAATCCCCATAAACCCTAGAATAATCTTTAAATATGGAATTATATGTTACCTACTAGTTATAAATACTGACAAAGATTGGTGTTTCTATGATACTATTTATATATGTCAAAATTTTAATGATTCTATGTTGATATGCATGCAAATTTGTGCAAAAGAAAAAGGATGATGTTTTTGTACTTATGTGTCTGGAAGTGTGTTTAAAAATGAAAAGAATGATGTCTTTATGCTCATGTATCGGGAAGTATAAGTGACTTATTATCGATGTTTATGTGCATTATGTTCATTTTGTGATACGTTATGCTCTATTTATACATGTTGGAAATTCTGCTATATTTGTGCCCATGTATTTGGAAATATGTGTGATAAAAAGGAGGATTAAAATGCTAATAGTTAGTGGTTAATGTTTGATATGTATACAAGTGGAGATATATGAGCCTGCATAAATAAGATGAAAATGCTGATGATTCATGGTTGATATTTCATGTGAATATAAGCAGAGGTATTAGGGCCTGTGGATTTATGTAATTGTCCCTATGTGCATTGATATGTTTAAGCAAACATGTTATGATTAAGTGGAGGTATAAACAGTGAAAGGATGTGCATACAAGTGGATGCATAATTGAAAGCGGAGGTATTATGAGACATTGGGAAATATGAAATGAGAAATGTGAAATGTTTTATTATGGATTTCACTTTTGGCAACATGTTCAAGCAAATTTTTGTCATTCTTTTTGATATATCTTTATTGTTGGTTGAGATTTAACTATAGTTGACATTAGTTGTATTGTTATTTTTTGTTCATAAAATGTTTAAATTATTATACAATTTATTTTTTTTAGATAATCAATTCTTTAGTAGGTTATCATGCAGCTTATTGACCAAGTGTTACCCAATATTGTTTACGTACATGCCATTTCAAGAAAGCGCAAGGCCTAGGTTGAATAGTACCGGTTGATAAGGTTTTAAGTCCAAATTGTAGGCATGCATTTTATATGTAAGTGTATTTTTTGGCAATCTAGTTAGTATATGCATGTTGAGTTTGTGTGAGATAAATTATACTTGGATTCCTATGAATTATTATTTTGATGAAATGAAATGAACAATGATGAAGATATTTATATTTATTGTTATTTGATGATCTTAGAAGGCTCTGTGTTGGATATTTTTGAAAAAAAAAAATCCTTTCAACTTAGGTTCTTGAAATATTTTCAACTTAGGTGCTGGTATGTGATAGCTTGCATGTTACCCAATGGTTAAAAATCTTTGATTAATGAATCATAAGACATACTTTAGTATAAAGCTCTTTGTTAGTTAAGATTGACTTGAATTTATCCTCTTAGATAAGCATCCACCCGATGTCTATAAAGTACTCTGGGACAAAGCAACTTATGAGTACCGACAATAATCCATCAATTAGGTTGGGTCCAAGACCTCCTCTAAGTAGAGTAGGTACCATAATAAGTGAGGATAATGAAATCATAAGATATTGATCGAGTTTGTCATCATTCCCCCTACCATCTGCTTTAAGTGCAATGTAATAAATTTCAAATCCTATTGTTACATTCACTGCTATTACACGCTAGGTATATACCTATATAATAACTAGCTTTAATCAAAAGTGCTCTCCCGTCATCAAAATTGGTAATCATAGGGGAACTTGAACCTAGATTTTAAGTCATCGTAAAATAAGGGTAAAATATCTAGGTAGTGTCTTGTTCTCAATCAAATCTACCTTCTAAAACATATCCATTAAAACTCTATGCTGAGAAGTTGAGGTGCGAATTTTTGAAGCCCACGTATATAACTTATAAAATATAACTTGACTGATGTTACCAAATTGCATACCATCCCATCGATGTAATTCTTGGTGATTGCAAATAGCAAACAACATTGCTAATTCATCCTTTCTCTTGCCCCTTTTGAATTTAACCCAACCCTAATTTTTGCACTAGATTAATAAAAATGATATTCTTTTGGTTGCTCATGTCGATGATGATGTTGATCATCTCTTGCTTGATGTGTATCCTTAGGGTAAGGACCCCATTGCTAGATCCTTTGACATTGTTATCAGAGATAGAAATTGATCCTCTTTGTCCACTTGACTCAAAATACTAGAAATGAACTTTTTTAATTAAATTTAAATGAGAATTTGACTCTTAACATGATGCAATGGAGAAAAAAGACTCCTGTAGCCAACCCCACGTAGTGGGATAAAGGTTTGATGCTATTGTTGTTGTGTAATTTTTAACATTTTAACATTTTTGTTTAGCGTGGCTTGATGTCTCACGTTAACTGCGTAATTCACCAAAGGGGAAGGGTCATCACTGACCTTCTTTACCTTCTCTACCTTCTCTACTTTAGAGAAAGAAGACCCTCTTTGGATTATTCTCGAGCCTTCTCCCTTCTAACTTGGACCTTGGGCTCAATAGCTATTAGCATCATATTGCTTGGGTGAGATCCGCAATTGAGAAAAGGAGTTCATTTACATTTTGAAAAATAAATTCCTAAGTTATAGTTCATAAATATTTGTATCTCCTTAAGATTTATTCCCAATATGAGCTCATGAGGATGAAATTCTATGATGTATTCTTGCACAAATCATCTTTAGCACTGCCTCAGTTTGTGGAAGTTCTTTCATTGTTCCTCAAAATCACCCATAGGGTAGAACTTTTGATGTATCGGTTTCTGTAGCATCTAATGTTCTCCTAATGGCCATTCATCTTTAGATAGGTATTCAACCATGCCAGACATGATTTTTTATTTTAATCAGGCGAAGACAACCTTGTAGTGGGTGTTATACCATACAAGGTGAAGTCCTCAACTGATCAATCCATGCACCCATCTTCTTGGTATCAATTGTTTGATCATTAGTAGAAATCTCCTCTTTATCTTCTACTTTGAATTTCTGTATCCATCCTAATGAGTGGTATCAATATCCTCATCACACTCCAACAATGTTTGCATATGACATGGAAAGAGGAATACAATTTGGCCCATTAGTTGCAATGGCGGTTTTTTGCATTGTGGGCTCTAAAAATTTGCTCCCCGTCCTCTCTGCGACCCCTTTCTTTTCCAGGTCGTTGAGAAGAGTTTTAACGAGTTTAAGTTCGGAGGTAAATTTTTAGAAGGAATATTGGGTTTTAAATAAAACATTACCCAGAGACTTTGCCCTCATTTTGCTCGGACTTTATGATCTGAGTTTAGGTTTCCTATAAGCGCAAGCCCTTATAGTTAATTACCCATCCCAATAGCGTGAGAGAACTTTTGATTATGGCTAGTCGTCAAACAAATACATAGTATCCAATGTATAGTAGCAGCAGGATTTGATATTTAAAAATTAAAAATTATATCATCGTGCACTTAATGCGGATGGTAGAGGGAAAAATGATGAACTCGATCATGATCTCATGGTTCTGTCGTCTCGGGCCATCGTGGTCCCTTGTCTATTTAGTCAGAGGAGATAGTCGACCCAACCTGATCGAATGATCTTTATTGACAACTATGGGTTGCGTCGTTCAAGGGTACTTTATAGGCTTGCGGTGAATGTTTGTTTAAAGAGATATATTTTAATCCACCTTAGTTAACAGAGAGTTTTGTGCCCCATCAATCATATCTTAATAATTTAGTACTCAATGATTTAGCGCTGTTGGGAAACATACGGGCTCTGGCCATGATCATAATTTAATGGTGCCATTCGACGACAAAACCATCCGGTCAGAGGGTGCCATGGTTTAAAATTGCGCAATATGAGGCTCGCCTTTGCACAATTCCAGCAAAAAAACGCCTTGATGCTTACGCCTCGAGTTTTTTTTATAAGGCTTGCGCCTCAACTTGGTTAAGGCCCGCCTTGAGGCCCACCTCGCCTCACTGGCATGAGGCTTACGCCTCACGCTATATATATATCAAAACTTACATAAATCTTGAAGTAAATGCCCGACATTGGACTCTATAGGAGAGGAGGAAAGGGAGAGAACAGTTCATCATAATGATGATTCA